CCGGATTACGAGACATTTTTGGGACACCCTGTATACTATATTATATACATAATATACCTTCTAAAAGAAAAGGTAAAAAGAGCAACTCACTTTTCACGTAGGGCACTTCATCGTCGCGGCTCTCAGTCGACAGACCTAGAAGACTTCCGGTGTCGGTGCGGCTGCTGACGGTACTCCAATCTGGCGTCAACGATCTGGCACGTTGTTTCACCTAAATAATCGTAACAAACCTAAGTTATTGTATGTATGATCAAATGATTATATTCAATATCGTTAATTTACCTTGATAGAGAAGAAGCTTCTGTCGCATCCGTGTCTGTTCTTCACAAGTATGCAATAGGTGCCCTCGTCCGAAGGTGTTACCCTTTTCAAGGTCAGTCTGACATAGTCATCGATGACTTCCTTGATGGATCTAGGGCCGTTAGTGATGTCTCTCAGTCCTTTCATCCAGGTCACTGAAAAATTCAGGGCGAACTTTTCGAGTTAGATATCGGATTTTTAAATAAAAAAAATTTTTATAAGAAATGCGGAAGAATGATTATATTATTATTAATATAATAATTACATTATTATAATTAATATTATATTATTATAATAATTAATATCAATAAAATATAATAATATTAAATATAATTATAATTAATATTAATATAATAATAATTATTATTATATTATTATTAATTGTTTCATTTTACCTCGTGGTCTGGGATTTCCAGCGCATCTAAACGACACGCTGACATCTTCTCCAGTGGTGACGGTGATCGATTTTTCAGCGGGTCTCGAAACAAACATGGCGGGCTTCCCGGTCTCCATGACGCCCGCCGATTTTAAGTCCATCGTGCTCATGCTGTCCACGTGCCCAAAATATTTCGATATGATCGAGCCCCTCTCCGATTCGGAAATCTCCGGCACGAAGGAAGTGTGAATACCGAAGTCTGTGAACGCTTTCGCTTTCGAAAAAGAAAACGGTTCTCTTCTTTCGCCGCGGAACCATCTCACTTCCGGCGCGGACGCGCCTGCGCACACGCGTTTATGGAACATTTATTCAATTTCGATTCTTCGGAGATATATGGACCGTTTATTTTGAAAGTGGTGCAAGTCCATTTTTTTTTAGTTATGAATAAAAACGTTACACTAAATTAATCATTAATTATGTGATATTTAATTTATTTTTTTAATGGAGTCACACTATTTTTAAATTAAATGGTTCATATACATTATCTATTCTTTTATTTTTAATCACTCGTTTCTAGTGGTCCGTTAGACTAGCGCGTCAAGTGTTATTTTCATAAAAATACCTTTCGCTCTGATTTGGGCGGCGATGCTACTTCCAATAGGAACATTGTAATCGGACAGGTAACTGGATAAGTATGACCTCTTGAAGACATCGGTGCCAAAGTGGTCGTCAAAAATTTCGTGATGCTTGCCTCGCCGAATTCGTTCTTGAAAATAAATTACGTTAAATTGTAAATTGTAAATTGATTACTGTAAACTGTAAATTGTGAATTGCAAATTGTGAATTGCAAATTGCGAATTGTAAATTGTGAATTGTGAATTGAAAATTATGGATTGAAAATTGTAAATTGTAAATTGAAAATTGTAAATTGAAAATTGTAAATTGTAAATTGTCAATTGTCAATTGTAAATTGAAAATTATGAATTGAAAATT